AGTTCCTGTTCTTTTACATTTTTACAGACTCCTCTTGTGTAATAGACCCTGCACCTTTTTAAAGTTAGACTCAGTTCCTTAAAACATTACTAATAATTTCAAAATATTACATAATAATAATAATAATAGTACATTAACTGGAAGCAGCAATTCATTACGTTATATAAGTTTTTCCTCCAAAAAGTCAACAAATTCATTTAAGCACAGATATTTCTGATCTGTCCCCTGCACTTGATATTATAATATTAATATGATATCAAAAACAACCATTTAACATAAACTGGAAATCAGGAAATGACATTACAGTTGCTGCTGACACTACTGGACTTTCTTGGCTTGCGAAAGTAACACAGCACCACACTTATGGAATCTTTAATCTCACTGCAGTCTGTTGTTTTTGCAGCTGCAAAACTGGATAAGAAGCTGAAACAAAAGAAAGGTTCTTCTCTCAGTCAAAAGCTTGTTTTCATTTAGAAAAAAGACTAAACGTTATAAGGTTCCATTACACCCAGGAGTAATACTGAGATATTTCACAGGATAAGAGAAACTTTTGACCTGCCAGTGGCACTAGAAAATTTGGGATAGGGATTGATCCTTTGGACTCCATGGATATCTGTACCAGATTTAATGGCAATCCATTTAATAGTTGAAATAATTCAGTAAAAGCCAAAAATGGCAGCCTGCTCTGAGAACCATGAATGCCTGTACCAGATTTAATGGCGATTCAAACTGTGGTTGAGATATGTCAGGCGTTCCCTTCGTTGATCCATGCTGTTAGCGTAGCCGAAATTCTCTCTTGATGCCACTGGCTAGTAGCATGCACAAGCATTTGTATGGCAATAAAATTATTATATTACCCACTAGTCAGCAGCACTGTCTTTAGTCCATGTTAGGACAGCAACAAGAAGTGGCCGTGTGTTTTGGAGTTTGGGAAGCCATGATGGATAGCGCAGTGAAAAAACTGTCTGAATGACATATATGTTTTCCTCCCTTAGCTGTTTTTTTTCTGATCAGTACATTTTAAAAACCAAGTCAATTGTAATAAATGCTGTTCAAATCTTATTGCTACCTAATCGATCAGAGCGTCCCTAGTGGCCTGATAATGGTTAAAAAGAACATAAATACCCAAATATACCCACATTCAAATGCCAGCCAATCCCACACGTCATTGTCATCCTGCCTTGGCATTAGGCCCAGCCAGGTGGCAGTGTGCACATGTCTAGTCCTGTCCTCCTTGTTCAACCATCCATCATCCCGTCACAAAATACAAGACTTTCTCTGTGGCAGTTCTTACAGTGCAACACCCGGCTCTCTTCCAACTTTATCCTCCAGCTCTTCAGGGGTCTGGCTGTCACAGTGTGTTTCCTGTTACAACCCTTCTGGTTCCTTCCTCTGCTGTCAGCCCGAACCTGCCGTTATCTAGCCGTCTGAAACACGGAGGTTGACACAAGCTGGTGTCTGCTCTGTAGTGCTTCCACTGGAGTTGGAGCTAATGGCACTTGGTCAATTTGGACTGACAGGATGGAGGTGGGGGTTCTAGTAGACATGGCGGTGTGAGATCATTCACATGTCATGTGGCCTGGGATGGAAGCAGTGGTTCCATGGGAGTTTGGATCGGGGTTGTTAGTAGATGACTAATGGGGTTTGAGAGAATATGTTTTAAACAAATTACAGTTTTATGATGATATGCCCAAAAATATTTGTATCCTTATCTTTTTCCCCTAGTAATCAAATGAGCAAAATAGTCTAACAAGGGAACATGAAAATCAGTCTTTCTTTGTGTCATTAATATGTGTATTAACCCTACAGCAGGATGTCATGACAGCAGTACTTTGTTCTTGAGGAGCAAAAAACTGAAAACCAGCACTGAGCACAGGAAACTCTCACCATTCTCACTCTTGTAAATTTCCATTTAAACAACCAAAAAAAATACATAGTTGTTTCCACAGCAGGATTTTAACTGATTTCCATTGGTATGAATGGTGTGACATTTTCATGGTAAAGAAGAAAGCTACAGCTCTGATTATACAGGGGAAATGGACTCAAATATATACTAAAGAATCATGTTGCTAAACAACATGCTAAACCTTTGAACATTGTCATAATGTAATATTTAACTGAATTTCATGTTAGAGTGCAGGGTCAGGTTTGGCAGAGCCCGTGTGGTTTCAATAAAGTTGCAAAGCAGGGGAAGTTAGTTTTAATTATTCAAACTTTGTTTTAAGAAGTCAAGTCATTTAGTCTATCACAGCTGACTCTAAATACTACAATGAGCCTCAACCATCATTAGCCTGGCTCCACCCAAGCGTGGCTCACTGATGAATATGTTACATTTAATTTGTTTCATTTGTACATAAAACAAAGTCTGAAAATTACAGGTAGTGGTTTCTATTTGTCTCTGGAGCCTTTTTGTCACTAGGGGTTGCCAGGCAACCAGCAGAGACCCAAAATAAGTCACTGCCTCCAGCCAAGAAATAGTTCCACACATACAGTAACCCCCTATAAAACTGTGGCAACTGGTTTGTTACACAGAACATTCGGGAAAATGACAGACACTTATACAAAGTACTTGGCAGATGAATGCATGAACCATCTGTCTGTCACCGTCTAGTCTATCATGGACAAACTTCAACCAATCAGATCAACAAACCATATAACGTAGTCAAACTCATTTTCTCTTCTTTCAATGAGGAAAAAGGCTAGCAGCCTTTAACCTCTTTAGGAGCCACCATTGTTGTTTTTGAGCAAACTCACTTCTCACACATGGCGTCACGCCCAGCTGTCAGTAGTTCCTCATAGGACGCTGATTGGTCCTGTGGTCGGGACACCAGTGCGTATCGCTTGAAGCTTGGCAAGATGGATTCTCCGGTGATCTTGCGAGTCCCTCTGCCTTACAAGGTTACTTTAAAATAACAAGTTGTTGTTTTTAAACAAACAACTTATAATGTATTAATTATTGAGCTTTTAAAGTTGCTGGTAAGAAGATTGTTTTACCATAGACAGAGCCATGCTAGCTGTTTCCATGTTTTTCCAGTCTTTGTGCTAAGCGAAGCGAACAGGCTATTGGCTGTTGCATCATATTTACCATACAGACATTAGACTATCATCCATTTTCTCTTCTCTGGAAAGCAGCATACTGTATTTACAAAAAAGTTTTTATGTATACAGTGTTGTACCTTTCACTTTTTATATCAGAACCAGATATTTACTGATGATTCATGCCCATCTACGCCTGGGAAGTTCTCTAGCTGCCAGTCACCTCACACTGTCTATATTCAAAAAATGAAGGGACTTTTATTCCACAACCCTCGATACCCGTAATAATTCCTTCCACTTCACTACACAAGCCTCTTGCAGTGTGGTACCATGCACACAGAGAACTACAACAGTATTACACCATTAGATTAATGCTAACGGGACAGGTTCACTGTCTGACTTGCTTACATATGGATTACATGGTAGGAATTTGTGCATGCACTGGAGTAGTATACGCTTCCAAATTAAATGTTGGTTTAAAGCAGATTGCACATGTAGCAACTGAACAGTGCCAGAAAAGTGTACGTGAGAGGAGGCTTTAGAGACTGACGTCGCAACGCAGCATAAGAAGAAGAAGAAGAAGAAGTAACAGAGGAGAGGACAGAGGGAACAGGCGGAGGAGAGGAAAAGATTACTACCATAGTGCATCAGGCTTAGCTTCACATCCTTAATGGTAACCATGGAAATAATTATAGAGCAGACAGACAGGCTGTGTTAGAGAGAGAGTGAGAGCTACAGAGAGAGAGAAAGAGGGAGGGAGAGGAAAAGACAACGGGAGAGGAGGAGAGAAAGAAAACCGTGGGGGGTAAAGTAGCTGAAATGTTTGTTGGAATCTCTAAACCCTGACTCTGCGGTCTCTGATGATTGAACTATTTGAAGATGGCATGCGATGAGGTGGAAGTTAAACCCACATAAAGTCAGTCTAACCACCTCCTTACAGAAGCTGCAGAATAGAGTTTATCATCTGTTCGGGTCTGATATAAATCTTGTCTTTGATATGAAACTGCACTGAGATCTTAAGAGCATGAAAGAAGATATCCACCACCTGCGTGGAGGTCATATTATTTTTTATCCACCTTTATATCCTACCAGCGATAAGGAACTCTGGTGCGGTGAGTACAGCAACATTGCAGTGTCATAACACAACGTTGGTTTAAAAAAGTTGCTTCAAACCCACAGTTGTCATGGAAACAGATCTAAGATACCCTTTACCCCTCTAGAAGTGCTGATTGCCTATCATTGCTGAAACCCCAATCAATGGTGATGTCCTTAAGACTGGAATTTAAACAGTACTTGATGTCTCTTGCATCGATTATAAAAAGTCAGATACAGCCTAAACTGGGGTGTAGGATTAAGCGTTTGGTTGATTTACATAATTGGATGTATTGGCTGGCTGGTTAATAAATGGATTTCTGAGCAGTATTTATATATTTCTATGGAGAAGCATGTCAGCTCGTGGGAAATTAGCAGGGGTCATGCGAGGCTTGGGTATAGAAATTAGCATTCTAATTTTTAATTTTGATCGGTCATGATTTGCCCGTGGGTGTCTGACAGTTTGCTTGGGCAGGTGGGACACACTGGGCTTTGTGGACATATATCGTGCAAGTAATAACATGCTTGCATGCTTCCCACACATTAGCCTCTGGCTTTGAACTTCACACTGTGCTGTGTGTGTATCTGTGTGTGTGTGTGTGTGTGTGTGTGTGTGTGTGTGTCAGAAGAAGGTGAAGGGAAAGTAGAAAGGGGTGAGAGGCAGAGGGGAAAGGAAGAGAGGAAGAAAGAGAGCGGATAAAAAGTGATGAAGGCTTCTTGCAGGGCTTAAAATCACTCCAGGTCCCAGTAGGGATCCAGCCAGCCCCACCCCTTTTAAACATCTCTCTCTCTTCCCCTCTCTCTTCCTCTCTCTCTCTCTCTTTCTTACACACTACTGGAACTAGAGAGAGAGAGAGAGAGAGAGAGAGAGAGAGGGAGCTAGAGAGATTGAAGCGCAGGGCATCAGTGTGCTGCTGCTGCCTCCCTAAACTGTACTGCTGTCCACCTGTGCAGGATTATCTCCATCCAGGCAGCAGACAGGAGACACTACAACATCCATCACTTGCCAGGCGGATTACTTTAAGGATGAACCGCCGTTTGGTGGGAAGGAAGACGAGGGACTAAGTTGCCATTATCGCTCCGTTTTTGTGTGTGTGTGTGTGTGTGTGTGTGTGTGTGTGTGTGTGTGTGTGTGTGTGCTGCCTGTCAGCTACTGCCACACGTTCAGTTTTTAGGCATTGCAGTTTTTAGACTACTTTATTTCGGTGGCGTTTGCTTGTTTCTTGGCCACTCCACCGGCTCACTTCGTTTTTTTCCTCTCTTCCCACAACGCTCTGTGGTTTTTGGTGCTTGTCCACATATTTCCGCCTGCATTGAAAATTAAAGCTTCCGTTTTCATTTCCCCTGCTCGCTCGCTGGCTGCCCCGTTGGAGGGGTCCGATCAGGATTAAAAAAAAAAAAAAAAAAAAGGCGCAGCGGAGAACGGAGCGCGTCTTCTCAGCCTTTACATTGGCGTACATACGGAGAGGCGGACCTATTGCGCACCGCACCGCTCCTTCACGCACACATGGGCACGGATACGCACGCTCACATGCACGTGCACACACATGCATTCACATCTAGAAACGCATCTCTTCTCCCTCTGCGTGCATACCTAGCTTTTGATTGCAATTAAACACCAGTTTTCTCCAGAGTGCAAAGCAGAAACGCGTTTACCTTCCACCCATCCACCCTTGGCAAGTTCATTTTCAACATGCACAAGGCGGATACCCACTAAGGAAACCATCGCAGAAACATTCCCATCTAAAAGATGAGAGAAATTGGCCTCAGCGGATCTTCCGTCGGTCACCGGAATTGCGAGTGCAGGGTCGGGGCGGAGGGCACCGGGGAGAGAGGACAGGGAGAGGCCGGTGAGGAGGAGCTCTCAGCCGGACTGCCCGCCGCGGAACAGCCGCTGCTGCCTGTGCCGAAGAAGCAGGCTGCTGCTGCCGGGGGGAGGCGGGGGGAGGATGAACAGTGCCTCAGTGTGAAATTATAACACTCAGCTGGCTTTGGGAGTGTTTGTTTTTCTGTCGTTTTACCTCTCACTAATTAGTCTGAAGATGCGAGATAACGAACAGTGGCCTACTTAATAACTGTCATCTTGTACTCTTATCAACGTGGCACTTTTGGGTCACCTTAAAGGTAAATTCAGCACTTTGGAGAAGTAAAGGCCTGTAGTTGCGAATTTACCTGTGCAGTACCCATTGGAAGGACATCCTCCCACTTACAGGCCACTTGCACCAGTTTAACTTTGTGTACTGGTTACTTTTTTTTCTTGATAGCTTAAGGTGTTTGTTGTTGATGAGTTAACCAAGAGAAATCCTAATAATATTCCTGTAATCTTTATATAGGGACCTATAGTGTGTCTGTGGTGCTCAGTAGTGAATTTATAGTCACCATATTGCACTTGATGGTATTTTTTATGTCTTAATATTACTAGGCTATAATTTTTCTTTAGAATATATATAAATATATAGTTTTCTGTGATATTTGTATATCATTGTACTTTGAATTTATTATAAGACCACTATAGTTCTTTTTCTATTATACCTTAACAATTCACTTACTCTAAGATATATCCAGATACCTTGAAGGAGCCCTGTTTCCAGGTGCCTTGGTAGTGGTGGCTAGCGAGTTATCATTTATTCATATATCTATTTGTCTATGAAATATTTAAAGGTCATGGATTGATTTAAGGCCAACATTCATCCATTTGCAACATGGCAGTGTTTTGCTGTAGTGGGCTTTCATAGTGGAATCAGTTTCACTGGCTTTGCTTTAGTTAGAGTTCTCTTGATTCCTTTTTTTTTTTCCTAGGCTAATTTGAGCGCTGACTATCTGAGCAATACTTCTCTGTCTGGAACTTGAACACGGCCTTATAAACCCTCCGGAGGATGGTCACCTGCTAATCAGACAGTCAGACAAACACATGTGTGTCATGACGTTGGCAGGTGCCGTTTGCAGATACACCAACACGCTCAGTTATTTATAAACGTTAATATCACTGTGTGCTTTTGGAGTATTGATTCAGAACAAGTGTCGATGTTCGGTGGAATGTAACACAAACTACGGAGCTGCTGCAGTTTCTAACAGACACCGAGACTCAGTGGAATACAGGCTGAAGTCAGTGAAGTCATCTCCACTCTTAGCAGGCATCAGCTTACTGTGGGGTCTCATAGACTGGAAACCCAGAGACATTGTCTCTAGAAGTCTGGACACAAAGCACAACAAGCCCCACCTGATCTAGGTAGGATATATTTGTCTTCTTATTTAACTTTGGTTCCCCTAAAATCCATATCTATGTGAATCCAACTAATTATATCATCTGATCCAGGTATACATTTTATTCAAGAAAAAAAATTGTACATTGCACAGACTGTACTTTCAAAACTGCGCATTTGTAATTACAAGATTGAAAATACATTACACTGACATGGACAATGTTTAACAGTGAGTGCTTTTCAGCAGTCATGTTTTCTGAGTGGGCGTATCAATTTTGCCAAAGCCCAACATCTCATTTTGAGGATACATTCTATTAAATGCCAAATAAAAAGCAGTGTCCAAGTACATATATGCTGTATACATACGGCTTATCTTCACCTCATTTGCACCCATCTCCTGTACGATGACATCACTTTTCTCTGTGCATTTCTCTGGGTTTGTCGTCAAGCTCAGGAGCACAAGTAGTCCACAGCTTCCCATCTGTTTCCTCTCATGCAATATAATATTCAAGTAAAAACTCTGCATAAAACAGTATTCATGTTGCTCCTTTACTGCTGGACAGTTGAGTCAATTTTTCTGAGCCTTAAACATGATTTTCCAAAGCTCAAAGCTCAATAAAAAATACTCTGAGACTTTATGTGGTAAATAATGTACTATGACAAGCATTAGCCTGGTAAATCAGATCAGATTGTACTTGCTTCTTTTTGCTCTAAAAATCAAATAATTCCCAACGTGAAACACAAGCTTGATCCAAAATTAGACCTTTCATTGCTTTGCATTAAAGCTGCAGTAGTTACATTTGCAGAGTAGCAGAAAGTCACTCGCTTGCTCTCCTCTTCCTTCACTCCCCACTGAGGCAAAAAAGATAGGTAGGCAGTTGATTGACAGCTCAATGATGCTCTCCCAGTTTACCTCAGACACAACATTAACTTTGACAGCACAGAGCAGAGAAATGGCACTATCAGTATAATCAAGATTGAGACATTACCTCACTTATTTTTCTTACCTAGCATGAAAATTACTTTTGCCTGATTCAAACAAAATGTCAACTTATACCTATGACAGTTTTAGCATCATACAAATACTCCAAATACTCCAGCAAAGGCAGAAAAAAATAACTAGTTTTCCACTAGTGGCCTGTGGATTCTAAAATTCAAAAACCTTTTTGACTGGCAAATCCGCTTTGAGAATACAAAGGATTGTCCAGAATTTTGGTTATCTGCCAAGTTGGCTCCGACTGTTCATGTAGAGTAGAGAAACTTGTGATCAGCAGTCAAAATGTATCATCATTGGACTGTTGGCTGGTGCTTCTTTCTCACTGTGTAATGTTTTTTAGTTTTTAGTCACAGTAACTGATATTTGAAAGCCCCATCATTTAACTGTACATTTGAGGAATATTGCGGTATGTTTTGTACTTTCAGCTGTTGTGTAACATTCACACTAGAGATGATTTGACTTATTTATGTAACACTGAGTTTATTTCTATTTTAGACCAGTCTGTTATGGTTTCCCCAGTCAGGGTTTGCTTTGCATATTATGGTTCTGAATACCTTCGCAACAAAAAGGAATTCATCAGCAACACATTAATTAATTCATTAATTTAAAGGGGTACTCCAGCTATTTAGTACTGCACTTCTATAAAGATTTTAATAAAGAATTATAAAAATTGAAGCAGCACAGGGAGAGATATCCTAACTTTTAGTCCCTCGTATAGTAGGGCTGTGTATCAGCAGGAATCTGGCGATGTGATACGTATCCCGAAAAAAAAAAAATCATTGTATTGTATTGATTGTAAGCAAGGTAATATATATCAGTCATAGTATAAAAAACACACCACCATATGCAAAACATATATTTTTATGCAACCAGAACAGTGCGATCTGTTTATCACAGTCCCTGTGACATCCAACATCATAGCATTCAGTTTACGTTTACCACACTGCTACTGGTTGGGGGTTTAAACACAAAAATCTTTTTGAGAATTTATATAATCTCACAAAACAAAATATCGCAATACAATTTAAAAAAATATATATTCTCACACCTCTATAGTATAGAGAGTTGAAGCCAAGATGTCAAATTCCATTAGCTATTGTAACTCAATGCAGTGTCTCATTGAGGCTTTACAAGCGCAGCAGCGTGGGTACATACGTCATCATTTCATTCATAATTCACTAACACTCTCTTCTAATGTGTTTATTTTCAACTTTTTACTTTAATCTTTCTGTAAAGATCCGTAAACTTCTACATCGTCCTCTCTGTCTTCCTGTCATCACAGACATGTCTGAATAGCTGTGCTATGCTTGAGCAGTGATGTTTATCTTGCGATGGTCTAGGGCTTATGGGAAATGAAGTTCATTAAAGACAGCTAAAATCGAAACATTGAATAAACAGTGCTGTGATTCAGGTTCATGACTTCTGGAACAGGACCAGTCACACATCTTTCAAACACCACAGTCTCAAGCCAAAAGTGAGATAATTTTTTTCCAGCTTTACAAAGCTCCTCTGTAGCTATAGAAGACATCACGTTACATAACAGCATCTCAAACATGTCATATTGTAAACTGAGTATCTTTAAATTTTGGATTTTGTCAGACAAAAGAAACAATATGAAGATGACACTTTGGACTTTTTGTAACAGGCATTCCTTACAGATATTTTACAGACTAGGTGATAATCCAGTTAATCGTAAAAGTAAAAAAAATGGATCAATAATGCAAATAATTGTTTTTTGCAATTGTATTAATGCGTCACCATCAAAAGCCTTTCACGTTTAGTTATATGGCTATTCAGCAAATGGATGCTGACACAGTTAACTTGTACACTCTACAAATCACATGTATCATTCATGGTAACATACTGTAGCTGTTTGCACACTGTCCATTAGTAATTTGTTCAGAAAGCAGAATGGACTTTGACTGTGAGGTCAAGGCTTGCAGATAAATGCTGCTGCTGCTGCTGCTGCTGCCGTGTGAAGGATTGAAACCTTGCACGTTATCTGTTTAAAATCAGCTCTGTGCCTGCGTTTCTCCACATCTGCACACGTTTAGCTTCATGAGATCGGTTCGAACAACCACTGCAGAGCTTTATCAGCTCAGGGAGTGACCAAGACTTGTCCAGATGAATGTTGCCAAAAAAATCTTATCCTTAAAAAATGTAGCAGCATGTAGCTACTGTTGGGAACGAAACCCCAAACCCCTTGCAGCGCCAGTGCCTTGCTTTTCCTGCTGCGCTAAAGATGACAACATTTATACATTAAATTATGTAATGAGAGTCCCTGATGTAGCCGCTGCATTGTACTTTAAACACAGGAGAGACTGCCTTACATTTGTAGTCACAGTTCATGGATCAAAAGCAAACAGGGAGCTAACCAGCGTTCTATCATAACAAAGGCAAACATACAAAAAGCCCTGAGCGTTCCAGCGCTATTAAGACACCCACTCCCTCTCCAGCCTCCATCTCTGGCTCTTGTGCTCCCTCCCTCTCTCCATCCAACTCCCCCTTCCTCAGTGAAACTCGCCCCCCCCCCTCTTTTGCTACAGCTCCCCCAGATGCTTTTCCTCCATTTCTCTCTTCCTTTTTTTCGTTTTTTCTCTATCTAGTTCTCTCTTTCTGTCATCCTGTCTTCACTCCGTATAGTCTTGCTCTTGCGCTGTCCCTCCTACTCCTACACGAACACTTACCCACCAACCCCCCACACACACTGTGTTCCTTTTCTGTTTTTTTAACCAACCTCTTACTCTTGTGTGTCTACATCCCTCCCTCCCACTCTTTTAACTCTGTCTCTCTCTCAGTTCTCTCAGAGGGTCTAAGCTGGAAGCGTTTGCCACCCACACATTCCCTCTTCAGCTTTCAGCTTGACATCAGATTTACATTCACAATGAGCAAGCGCAGCATTTCACATGTTGCCTAGCACATGGCTCCACACACAAACATGTGAACACACAAAGTGGTTGTTCACACACGTTAACACATGTGCCTGTACTGTACTCTATTGTATTGTATATGAGATACAAAGTTGTGTTCTCTGCGTGTAGATCTAAGGCTGGAATAATCAGCCAGTAAAGCAATCGATCAACAGGAAAACATGTTCTCAAGAAAATTAGCAAATTATTAACAGTAAATTATTAAAAACATATGCTGGTTCCAGCATCGTAATTGTGAGGATTTGCTTCTTTTCTCCTTTTTCTATGATTGTAAGTGTAATATTTTGGGTTTTTGGACTGTTGGTTGGACAAAACAAGCAATTTAAGGATAAAATCTGCATTTATTAATATTTTTTGACATTTGAGATTAATTGATAATGAAAATACATTCTGATCTGTTGAGTATTTCTAATCTGACTTTCAGAAACCATTTATGTGCTGTATTGAAGGAATAATTTGACATAAATATCACTCTCATGTAAGCACATTAACTATGGAGGTGGAGGAGGGAGGCCATTTATTAGCTTGGCTTAGTTTAGTTTAGTTTAGTTTGGTTTAGCATGAAGACTGGAAAAAGGAGTTAACTGGCTTTGTCCAACCCTTTAAAGCTCACTAATTAACATGTGTGTAACTAGTTGTTATGTGGCTATTGGTGGTTGTAGAGTGATTTATACAACACTTCATCCATCCATCCGTCTCTGCTGTTTGCCCCTAACTTCTAAGTGACGAGAAGACTTGCTGTAAAACCACAAATTATGATTTTTTTACTTTTGTATTTGTAGATTAAAGAAACGCGATACAATGTGCTAATTAGTGAACTTTACAGGTATTTATATATAGGTATTAGAACTTTGGACAGAGCCAGGCTAGCTGTTTCCCCCTGATGCCGGTTTTTATGCGACTGTAAGCTTACCTAATTGCCTTCTGGCTTCCGCTTCATACAGACATAAGAGTGATATGGATCTTTTCATTAGAATCTTGGCAAGAACGGAAATTTGTGTATTTCCCCAAAAATCTAACTATTCCTTGAACATGTGATCTGTCTTTGGTGTAAGCAGATGGGACACATTCTTTAACAGCTGAAAAGCAGCATTGCCCT